AATTCACAATAGCTAAACTGTGGAACCAACATAGATGTCCTTCAATAGATGAATGGATTAAAAAAGTGGCATATATACACAATGGAATATTACTCAGCAATAAAAGAGAATAAAATCATGGCATTTGCAGGTAAATGGATGGAGTTAGGTAAATGGATTGGCTAAGTGAAGTTAGCCAATCCCAAAAAACCAAATGCTGAATGTTTTCTTTGATATAAGGAAGCTGATTCATAGTGGGATAGGGAGTGGGAGCATGGGAGGAATAGATGAACTCTAGATAGGGCAGAGGGGTTGGAGGGGAAGGGAGGGCATGGGGTAATTAATGACGGTGGAATGTGATGATCCTTTTTATCCAAAGTACATGTATGAAGATACAAATTGGTGTGAATATACTGAGTATACAGAGATATGAAACTATGTAACCAGACATGAAAAAGTGTGCTCTGTATATGTAATAAGAATTATAATGCATTCTGTCATATAAATAAACAAATTTACATAAAAAATAGACACCAAGATATTATCAATAGCAGTTCCTATGTTGTTTCACTTATCTCTGTTTTTAGTAAACATGTGCTATTTAAGTCTCAAAAAAWAACTATGAACTTCATGCAAACCTATCAGTGACTTAAAAAAAAATGACTTAAGAACCATATRTATTCTCATTTCTGTTATTAAATGTCCCATAATCACGAAGAAGCTGTTTATCATCATCACAATCGTAACAGAATAATAATACCTTTTAGGGCACGTTCTTGTTGATTGATTGTGTTTTTAATGCATTTGATTCTCTACTGAGGAAATAAGAAACTAAAGAGTATAAATCATAAAATAATTTATTAATCATACATTAGTCGTGAAAGTTCTAATTTGCACAATGGAAACTCGGTAAATGTTCATTTAGGAACTAATCTTTTCAAGGTTCTCTGCTAGGCAAATTGTAAGATAATAAAAGATGAAAAAATATGCCCATGCCCTGTTGGATTTTGGATTTTAAAGTAGCAGTCTTGCGAATACTTCTAACAGTCATGCTTTTCTTACTTTTCTAGGCATCTCTAAAATGATTCCAAATTTGGTTGGTACTCTTGATTTCTGTTGTTACAAGTTGGAAAACGTGGAATCTTTTGCTTTCTTTCTTGAAGAATGGGAGGGAGTTGATAAAAAAATTAATGAAATGAAACCTCGGTTGGATTCACTGATAAACATTATTGGCACTGTTCCACAGCACATGGATGTGGATTCTGGTCCGTAAGTTCCCATGAGTTCTCTTCCTTTTGAGAGAATGTTTTTAAAACCTTTATTGAAATATAATTCACATGCTATACATTTCACCCTTTTAAAGTGTGTAATTCAGTGGTTTTCAGTACATTTATAGATTTGGGCCACTGCAGTCAATTTTAGAACATTTTATCACCTCAAAAAGATGCTTCATATAATTCAGCTGTTTCCCAGTAAATTAGTTCATTTTCTGTTACTACCACAAAATATTGGAGGTTGGTGGCTTATAAAGAAAAGTTTATTTAGCTCACAGTTTTGGAGGCTAAAAGTCTAAACATCAAACGCTGCCTCAGGTGAGGGCTCACAGCATATGGCATCATGCAGGAGGGAGAGATCACTTGGCAAGACAGGAAGCCGCAGGGGTCTGGCTCACTTTCCTAACTACTCACTCTTGCAGGAGCTGACTAAGATTCCATGAGAACTCCGTTAATTCCTTTTGGCACCCTACTGACCTAATTGCCTTCTCCTAGTCCCCACCCTTTGAAGGTTCCATTACCATATTGGAGGACATACTTCCAACACCTGAATCTTTGCTAGACACACTCAAACCATATCCAGACCATGTCAGTATTTCCTCATGATCTTATTTCTGAAAGATCAGTACTAGTGTCCCATCTCTCATTTCTGATTTTAGTAAATTTGAGCCTTCTGTTTTTTCTTGGTAAATCTAGCTAAATGTTTATTAATCTTTCCAAAGACTTCTCTTTTGATTTCATTGATTTTCTCTAGTATTTTTTATAGTATTAATTTGTACTCTGACCATTATGATTTCCTTCCTTTTGCTTTCTTTAGATTTTATTTTACTAAAATCTTTTCCATAGTCTTACAGTGAACTGTTACATTATTAATTCTAGACGTTTGTTTCTTACCATCAGCATTTACAGCTGTAAATTTCCCTCTAAGGACTGCTTTAGTTTCAGTCTATAAGTTTTGGTAGTTGTACTTTAGTTTTCATTGATCTCAAAGTGTTTTATGACTTCTTTCATGATTTATTAATTGACCAATTTGTTGTTTAGGACTGTGTTATTTAATTTTCACATATTTATGTGGTTTGCTACTTTTACCCTATTTTGACTTGTAATTTCATTTCAACTGTGCTGCGAGTATATACTTTGTATTATTCTGGTCTTTAAATTAATTGATGTTTTCTTTATGGCCTTGCACATTGTCTTTTTACTCTGATATATGTGTAGATCTTTTTGTGTTTATCCTACTTGGATATTGCTAAACTTCTGATATGTTAGTTATTCTCTCTCAATACAGATGAGAGGTTTTCAGTCATTATTTCTTTGAATGTGTTTTTTTTTCTTTTTATTCCTTTCTCTTTCTCACCATTTCCAGAGGCTTTAAATGGTTTGCTAAAGAAAAATAATTTTCAACAATTTCACTGGTGCACAGCCTTCCTCTTCCCACTGTCAATGCTGGAAGTCAACTTTAAAATCAATTCTCTTCATATGAGTAGTTCCTAGTGACCTGGGAGTGAATGTAAAGGTGTAAATTGTTATAACAGAGAGCTAATATTGGAGGTAAGATCTATATTGTCTGTCGTGGATTGGATATGAGGTATCCCCTGAAAAGCTCATGTGTTAGGCAATGTTTAGAAGTGAAATGATTGGATTATGAAAGTAATAACCTAATCAGTGGATCAGTTCATTTGTGGATTAATAATTTTTTTTTCTGTTCATAGTTGCTCTCATTATATCAAAGAAGACATTTGGTATTTTTTTTAGGGATTGGCTAGCTTCACTAAGCATAATCTGTTCTAGTGCCATCCATTTCCCTGCAAATTCCATGATTTTGTCATTTTTAAGTGCTGCGTAATATTCCATGGTGTATAAATGCCACATTTTTTTTATCCATTCATCTATTGAAGGGCATCTGGGTTGGTTCCACAGTCTAGCTA